TTAATCATGATTTTTAATTTTAAGATCGGAAGCTTGTAAGCTAAACTGTGATTTGAATGGCAGGTAGTAATGAAATTAGATTAATGTATTCATTAATAGTTTTAAAGACAAGTTTATGTAGATATTATTCAAACTGTAAATAGAATATTTATGTAAATAAGGTTAAATTGTCATTAACTAGATCCTCATAAGTAAAAGAATTTTCTAAGAATTTATAATATACCATCAAAAAGGAAAATATTTTGTAAACCAGGAAGCAATGGAAAAGTAGTAAATAAATATACATAGCATTTAATTGTATACAATGTTAATAAGATTGAGCCTATAAGAGTCTTTAGGAGAGTTGTTGCGGCAACCCACCTTGACCTTACTGACTACAACCACTATAACTACCTCCCTCTGGACTGGAGCTGTTCTTGTTTCTGTCACGTTTTTCGTCTTGATCTCTTTTTTACCTGCCGCTGGTGCCTGCCATCCACCGCCCTCGTTTGGTTGGTCGGCTGGCTGGCTTCTTGTCCACCCCGTTGGCTGCTGGATGGCTCGATCTACCACCACCACTACTACCACTACAACCACAACCACCAAAAAAAAAAAAAAACACCATTTACCACAAACCAATCTACCATTTGCCACAACCTTACAAATGACCATGGACGTAATCACTCCATTTTTCACATATTCAAACATAATACCATTAACAACTGACTACAACTAATTACACTACTGCTATTACTGTTGTTTCTATATTATTAACTTTCATCCCTTTTGCTTTATAAATCTGATTATATTTTTTATTGTTATATTTTTAATATATATATATATATATATATATATATATATATATATATATATATATATATATATATATATATATATATATATATATACATACATATATATACGTATATATATTTATGTATTTGTTTTTTTGTTTAATTATTTTTATGTTTTTTTCATTTACATTCCTGCATCCCATTTTCCTGAATAAATCAATGATTTTGTTACTAAAACAACTGTAAATGTAACAATAATTGGTATTCTTTTATATTTTCTCCCCCTTTCCTATCTCTCTTTGCTTTCTCTTCTACTATTTAATACTTATTGTGTCATTGATTTTATCTAATTTTTTTCTTCCGTTTTTCTTTCTTCGTGTAATTTTCTTCCATTTTAACTGTTTTTTTTCATATATTTTCTGTCTCTCTTTCCCCATCTTCATCCCTTTGCCTTATATCCTTTGCTCCTCTGACTAACATTACCATTGGTTCTCCAACTAAATATTGTTGCTGCTTATGTATTACCTCTACTTTCCTTCTGCGGTTCCTCTTACCTCACTCTCTCTATTGCTATCTCAACTATTGCTGCTGCTACTACTACTGCTTCGTCTTCTTCTTTTTCTTCTTCTTCTTCCTCTTCCTCTTCCTCTTCTATTGCTGGTATTACTACTACTATTACTTACTATGATACCTAATACTATTACTACTGCTTCTGCTGCTACTACTCTTGCTCATACTACTCCTACTACTGCAACTACTATTATTACTGCTACCACTACTACTACTACTACTACTACTACTACTATTCATTCTACTAAAACCACTACTAATACTAAAACTCTTACTTTTACAATTACCTTTTCCACTACTATGTCTGCTTCTACTACCTGTGCTTTTAACCTTCCTACTTCAACTATTACTGTTGCCTCTGATAATACTATCCTTGCAACTACTACCATTTATTCTGTTACCGTTTTTTCTTTCTTTTTTTTTACTTCTTTGATTACATTTACTAATTTACTACCATTGTTGTTACTATTTCATTTTCTTTTTCTGCTACCACTACTACTGGTATTCTATAATTTTTATGTTTATATTGCTGCTGCAACAATATCCACCATTACAATCACTACTACTACACATGATACTTCAATTTACTTCTTTTTCTGACAATCTCTAAACTGCAAATGAAAATTTGCTATATTTTCAAACTACAATTTTATTTTTTTTCTCTCTCTCTTTTTTCTGTCAAAAACACAAACACATATAACTAATACTACTGTATCACTACCACCACAAACACCTACCATCCACCACCAACTACCACCACCTCCACCTCGACCACCACAACCACCACCACCACCACAACCACCACTGCCGCCGTTCTACTGCTGTACTCCCGCTGCCTGCTGTATCCCATTGTCAAAGGATTGCTTCCGCTAGGCCCAAAGCCGGATCCACCGCGGAATGTGACGGTCAGGAGGGTACAAGATGAGTACCTAATCAGCTGGATACCACCCACCGACAATTCAGTTCCTCCAGCCTACTATGGCATCGAATATCGAACGGATGGGACATGGAAGAAGCTCAATGATGATCACATTATAGGTGCAACATCGTACACAAGTGAGTCCTCTTTTTTCTCTTTTTATTCTCTGCCTCCTTATCGTGTTTTATCAATGTTAGATGACCATATGTATATATGATAATGTACAGTATGATAAGAA